TCAGTCCACACTCTGGTGTTCAGGTCTCTCAAAAGGACGCATGATATGTTTGTGTCCGACCAAGCCAAGTCCGTCGCTCTGGATGACGAAAGGTAATTCTGGCTACTCGCTTAAAAGTGCTTGTAACTTTATCCTCCCATGTTATGCAAACATCTAAAGTTCAACCTATTATGATATTATCCTTGACCTCAAATGTTAGTCAAAGTTTTGACTTGTGCAGCAGCCTTTGTTGTAGATTGTTGTTGTTGTTGTCAGATCAGAAATAAAGAAAAGTAAAATGTCCTTTGTTGTTAGTCTTAAGATTAAGATACATGTCCCAGAAATCTGCAGGGAACAGCAAATGAGCTCTTTTTAGTCAAGTTCAATTTCCCTAACTTTACATTTTGTACTGAACGATGTGATTTTTATCAGCTTGCTTCTAAGAATTACCTAAAAAAACAACTATTGTTTGATATTTAGATATCACAAGTTGGAGAAGAGTAGGCTTTTCTAAGACACCTTGATTCAAAGTATTTCAATGCAAACTATACTAGAAACAAGTCATATTTGAGTTAATAAAAGACACCTTTACAAAATCACACCATTGCCCTTTTGGGGGGGGGGGGTGCTGATAAAGGATTTTAATTGACAACAATTCATCTTTGTCTGGTTTGTTTGCAGCTACAAGGTAAAGATGGATGTGAAACTAAAAGCAGACTATGGTGCGGTCTTACACATGCCTGTCCTGAAGGAAGGAAAGGACAGAGTCTCGCAGCTTCCTGGCAGCATTCAAGGCCACCAAAGCTATACACAGCCAGGTGAGGACTGTCAGTGTGAGAACAGTTGATCATTGAAGTTATGAAGGAAACACATTGTAAATGCAATAAGAAAGTCAAGTTCTGTTCTGATTTCTGTTCTGACGTCTTTCAGGGGATGACCCAGACTACCTGATCACAGGGACACATGCTTATCCTTCTGGACCTGGTAAATTCTATGTTGTCAAATAAAGCACATGCATGCTTGTGCCCTGTGCCTGAGTGTATTCACTTCACTGCTCCTGCATCATTAAAGTGTTAATCCCAGTATTTTCATTGAATAGGCGTGGCTTTGACTTCTGACACAAAGATGCACAGGAATCCAAGCGAGGGAGGAGTCTACTCCATGGCACTGACTTTGCCACCCTCACAAGCCAGGTAAAAATGTTTTCCCACACAACGGGTCACTTCAGTTAAAGTAAAGAGTTATTGGCACTAATTTTGCCTTTTTGGTTTGAAATGTTTAGGCAAGATGCGAGCCGCACTGCAGCCAGTGTTGCTGACATCCATCGACATGCAGGAGGAGCAGAAAGATCTCATCCCATGTCATCTTCTGTGGTACGTTGCAGGATGTTTTTTTTCCATGTTAAAATTATTGTTTTAACTTATTCACCATTTTAAAAATCCCTGTGAGAATGTCTGCCCTGATAATTAATGTTATTTCTTTTAGTCACTTTTGGAGGGAGGAGGTACCAGAAATTCAGCCCTCATGAGGAAAGCGCCAACCATGCCTAAACCTCAGTGGCATCCTCCATGGAAACTGTTCCGGGTAATTACAACTCACTCTAATTAATGTGCTGCATATAGCTTCTACCTCCAGATTAACCCAAACTTTATCTGTGTTGTGTTGTCTTTGTTTTTTGTTTTTTAACTGTATTGTGTTTTTTTTTCTTCTGATAGGTTATCAGTGGTCATCTGGGTTGGGTCAGGTCCATCGCTGTGGAGCCCGGGAATCAGTGGTTTGTCACCGGATCTGCTGATAGAACCATAAAGGTGAGTGAAGCTTAACATGACGATACATTTTTTTGTCAGTGATTTCTTTGTTTATTCGATTTGAAACATGATGAAAAACTTTACCCGCTTTGATTGACTTGATGTTTAAGAGCAATCTAAATTATGATGCGCATGAAAGCCACTTTTACACGAAGAAAAATATCAGTTTAAAGGAAGACTGTGCGACTTTTTGATCCAGCAGATGTCGCCCTTGATCACCAGCATTAAACCAAAACAAGCTGCTGTTTGGCAGCTCCTCCGCTATCTCCTCCACTCGCGTTGGCAGGAGTTTTGAATTAGAGAGTACCATTAAGCGCAAGCGGCGGAAAAAAAATTGTCCTTTACTTGAGCTGCAATCACCTGTGAGCTGCATTGTTGTGTTAGCAGCACCCTTTGGTTGACTCATGGCTTCATATTGCACATAAATTGACACGGAATGACCGTGATCTAAACACAGACATCCTAATAAGCAGTGAGCAGATTATGTTATTCTTCTTTTCTCTAGTCTTTCATTAAGACAGCTTCATACGCTCGGTAAACATGATGTAAACACGGCTCCGACACTAATACTGCTGGCAGGACTCACGCTTCTAACTCAATTTGAGACATTTACATAAGTGGAATCAATCTTTTTGCTTATGGTCTGATTTGCTTTTGCAGCTCATATCGAGGCATCAATCTATAATTTATGTCTGTTTCAAAAACACATAAAACTACATTATTCCTCTTATCCACTGAAGTTTTGTATTTTAGGTGATTGATGCAGTGAGTAATCACCATGAAATTAAGATCAACCAAACCTTTTATATCGTTTTTCATATTAACAACTGCCATCTTTTGAGAATACATATCATTCAACCTCATGCTGGCTCTACAGACACTTTTTCTTGAAACACTCTTTTAAAGCAGGTAAATGACTGGACAGCGTTTTTTTGTTTTTTTTTCTAGATCTGGGACCTTGCCAGTGGGAAACTGAAGCTCTCTCTGACGGGACACATCAGCACGGTGCGCGGTGTGGCAGTCAGCAGTCGCAGCCCCTACTTGTTCTCGTGTGGAGAGGACAAGCAAGTCAAGTGTTGGGATCTGGAGTACAACAAGGTATGAACCATTAGTGTGTTACCTACATATCTGACCTGCTAATCTAAAGAAGGCCAAAATCCTTTTTTTTTTTTTTTCCAAGTGTTTCTGAAATTCTCTTCTCAATGTGGATCTGTGTATTAGGTCATCAGGCATTATCATGGACATCTCAGTGCTGTGTATGATATTGACCTGCATCCAACTATTGACGTGCTGGTGACGTGCAGCAGAGATGCTTCAGCAAGAGTAAGATCCTACTCTGCATGCTCTATACTGAAATCATTGGGTTGAACTGTTTAGGTGTATCATGTTTAGTTTGTAGTTACCTTTACTTTAATCAGTAAATATCACGTTTTATAGTTTTTGTTATTACCATTTCATCGGTCACTTTTACAACATAAAAATAGCAGTCACGTACATTTGAAAATGTGATGGACTGAGTTTAAGGAACTGAATAATTTGGGATTGAAGCAACCGGGTTATGCAAAAAAACGCTTTACAATTTCAAAATCTTTTGCCAAATGTCATGTCTTATCTGCTCTGCTTTGTTTTACCTTTTGGTGTCTGAGTTAAAATACCTATACAGCCCGTATGAAACATTGGGGATCTGGTGTGGGAAAATTCCCTCTGTAGGGTTTCATGACTTGAACTAATTTTCATCTGTGTTGGTGCAGGTGTGGGACATCAGAACAAAAGCCAATGTGCACACACTCACTGGCCACACCAACACTGTGGCCACAGTGAGGTGTCAGGCTGCAGAGCCTCAAATCATTACAGGTAAAAAAAATGAATTCAAATAATGCCAAATAAACGATTGTGTGCCATCATACATTATTCAAATTGTAAATGATCGATTGGTCTTACATTATTAATCTGGACTGATGAATGTGTTGCAGGCAGCCATGATTCGACAATCAGGCTGTGGGATTTGATCGCCGGAAAAACCAGAGCAACTCTGACAAACCACAAGAAGTCTGTGCGAACTATCGTGATGCACCCCAGACAGTAAGTTACTTCAGTTACTTAACATTAACGGTTTTAATATCAAATGTAAAGTATAGCGCTGAAACAAGCACTGAGTTAACATAGTTGTAAGTCATTCATAAAGTCAGTATCCCAAGTTTCTATTTTAAGAATTTGATCATTCCTCAGTTTAAGGTATTAGATTGGTATTTTTGATCTTTCTGGGGCTTTGTAGTATAAATATATATTTAGATTATTAATCAGCAAATTAATTAATTATATACTCCTGTTAAGGTTTTGTGGAAAGTAACACAATTGATTCAAAGGATCTATTTGCAGACCACTTTGAAAACAAAGGAGGGGTTTATAATCTGGGTACCATCTCGTCATGCTTTTCCTTTGTTTCACAGATACACCTTTGCCTCTGGTTCAGCCGATAACGTCAAGCAGTGGATGTTTCCTGATGGAAACTTCATCCAGAACCTGTCTGGCCACAACGCCATCATCAACACACTTGCTGTTAACTCTGATGGTGTGCTTGTGTCTGGAGGTATACAACTATTACACAATGTCCTAAATCTTTAATTCCTCATATTAAAAATGTTGTTGGTTTTTTTTTTTGTCTGACATTTAGATGATCCTCAGTATTTAACTTCTGCTCCCTTTTTGCAGCCGACAATGGGACCATTCACATGTGGGACTGGAGAACGGGCTACAACTTCCAGCGGATTCACGCAGCGGTGCAGCCGGGATCTCTGGACAGCGAGTCGGGGATCTTCGCCTGCATGTTCGACCACTCAGAGAGCCGACTGATCACCGCAGAGGCTGACAAGACAATTAAAGTATACAAAGAGGACGACACCGCTGTAAGTTAAACTGTCATGCCTAAAGTTAAGTTTAGATCATAGCGTTAGTCTGCAGGCGGATCATTTGACAACTCTGTGTTCTTCTTTGCAGACTGAAGAAAGCCATCCAATCAACTGGAAACCAGAAATCATGAAGAGGAAACGGTTCTAATGATTTTTTTAAGTTGTTATTCTTGTCACAGTAATCTTTTTTTTTTTTTTTTCTATCAAGCTTCTTGTTCTAGACATGTCCATAAAGATTTGTTGTTAAAGCTGTTTCCCTCAGTTATTCATAAATCTGGAATGAGGTTCAGTTGTCACAAATGGTTTATACTATAAACCATTTGCAGTCCTCGTTGTACGATGTGAGTCCTATGAAGCTGCCGTCCTGGACGGCCAGGAACTTCCCTGAGTCTTTGTTCTTGATTATGACGGCTCTCTGGTGGCTCTGGTCGGTCTCATCCACCAACATCAGCCACTCCTCAGACACAGATGGACTAGCTTCAGAGTAGACCTGGTTTGTGGTTGGCTCAAATCCTGCAGAGGAAAATACATTATTTTTTTGTATTGGCTCAACAGCTTAATAGAATTGAATTTGTAAGGAGATGGAAATAAGTATTGCCCTTTTTCTAGCTTAATGTGAAGTTTAGTTGGCTCCATTCAATAAAGACCACATTTTTCAGATGTTTTGCTGTTTCTTTTTTTACAGTTTTACAGTTTTTTAGTACAATTTTTCTCCCAACACTAACCAAGGTATCTGTTGGTGACAACGTTCCTGTAGTACTTGGCGCCATTGGCTTTAATCTCCTCCCAGTAACAACGCTCTCCAGGCTTCTCATGAAGCTCCACTGTGTTTCTGGTGTCACCAGTTGGGTCCACTACCTGCTCATCTGTGAAAACATTAAACAGGATCTGAAGACATGTATTATGGAGAGATGTGAGAGTGACGGGGCGGCAGAGGGACTGGCACCCTAAGCAGTACTCGGGAAGTAAGCAGGCATCTCTCCAGCCACCACTGACAAATCCATACTTGGTCTGACCAGGACTTGAAACAATGACCCTCTGGTTCCCAACCCATGTCTATACAGACTGAGCTGCTGCCGCCCCTGCAAACATGCATTGGGACTTTGAGTAAATACTTAATTTATAAACACTTGTCGTACTCAGATACAGTAAAGTATTATGCTACATTCCACCTCTGTGTACCTGCATCCTGGATGTAAAGCTTTGAGAGCTCGTGGAGAAACCCTCGGCCCGGTTTCCTCTTCAGGTGGGGTTTTGATGGTTCCGGCAGATCCTCCTCCTCAGACCTCAGTTCTTCTACTGCCAGGAGGTGACCTGCGTTGTACATGATCTCCTCCTCAAGGGAGCTGACACACATCTCATAGCTTTCATCTTTTTCCAAATTCCTGAGAGACAACATCACATGTAAAATATCTGCAGGATCTGATAACACGTATTTATAGGGAATTTACATGGAAAGGGATTTTATTTTCTCAGTGACATGAATGACATAGGCTACTGGGAATAACAGAAGCATTTTAAAGCACAAACTTTTAAAAGCTTTTATCCATTTAACCTTTGGATGGAGGATGAAGATGTTTTATAAATATGTTGGCTTTGACAGATCCCCTCACCTGAAGTCCACCCACAGCAGGCCTGCAGTGATCAGCCCCAGCCACTCGCTGGCCTCCCAGTTGCTGGCCAGCATGACAGGAACAATGATAACCTCCCTGCTGTCTGCGTAGTTCAGCTCCTTCTTACAGCTTCGAGACGCCTGATAGGCCGGAGTCATGAACGGACAGATGACCACAGCCTCCTCCACACCCGCAGCCATCCTGAACACACACAGAGACTGAATGAATTCCTATTTTTTTAAACTCGGAGTTAAATGATGCCACTTTCATGTACAGGTTAAAGCTCCTTCCTATACTACTTACGCATCATTTATGTTCCCAGTCACCCCTCCTTCAATATCCATCCACACCGGCAGACCATCCTTTCTGAGCCGATCAAAGATCTTTTTTACCAGAGCCTGGTCATCCCACTGGTAGGAGAGCATGATATGAGAAGGCATCTTCCCTGTTTTCACCCAAAAGATCTGTGAAAAAGCTTCTGTGGTGGGTTTTCACAGGTTGTAGAGTAACAGAGTGATCCAGACAAAGAGAGACTCAGTTACTATGCTGCTTGTTTACACCAGTTGCACTTGTAACTTGGTTACAGTCTCTCAAACTCTGCAGGGTAGAAAAAACCAGCCGGACCAGTACCTTTAAAATGATAATCAGAAGACTTACTAAGCTGTAATAACAAATAATACATCGTAAAAGGAAATTCCTCATCATGTGTTCTCACATGAAAGCATCTTCATGTTCTTCAAATGTAGTTCTCCAGGAAAGTGGACACAGACACTTGACACGAGCACTGAGAAGAGTTCAACCTCTGGTGTTATTTAGCAGTTAATATAAAAGTTACAAGAATGTTATTTGTTATTCAGATGATTGTTTAACTTCAACAGCCTTATAAAGACAAATGGCTCATTTCAAGTCTTTACACTGTAGCTCTATCAAGCAATGGCAGAATCAGCCTCTTTTTTTCCCCCTCGTTTTAGCCCTCCCTTAAATCTCCGAGCTGATTCTGTCCTGTACATGCATGACAAGAAAAAATCTCATCCTGCATTTTTTTAAAAAAGTCAAATGTATGAACACTTTGCTATGAAACTGACAGTTTATCACTTCATCTGACACCCACCCTGGCATTAAAAATAACTTAATAGAAGTAATCACTCTTTTACGCTGGTGGTCTTTTTTGTGGTGGTCATAGAGACTTTAGGATTATTTCCAGTCTGTTTAATAACTAGCTACAAAAAAAATGGAGTATGCATGTAAAACTTAATTGTACATTTTGACACAAAATCTCACGCAAATCTCATTTAGACAACCTATTTTAAGAAAGCAAAACTCTTCACTTGTTTACTTAGGATGAGGGAGAAGCACTAGCTTTTATTTGATTTCTGATTAAACATTCAAGACGTTCAAATCTTTAAATCTGACTCATATTTGAGGCCAAATATGTGATTGAATTGAAATGTTGTAGTTGTTTTGTTGAGAGGAGTTCAACAGTAAAACTTTCAATGCGTTTTGACCGATAGAGGGAGCCACCCAACACTTGAATGTTTGGGCTAATAACAGAAACTGAACGTATTATTACCATTTTTTACCAAATCAAGCCCACTCAAATTTCTTTAACTACATTTCACTTTTCATGTTTAGTTTTTTTTCTTCTGGCTGTTAAACTCTTCTCTACCTTCTGCACACATTTACTGATCTGATTCAATGGGTCACACGAATACCTTGCCACCTTTCAGCACCCGGTCCTGTGGGTAATCCCTCAGCCTAGTTAACTCTGAAGCAATCAGGGCTACAGATGGAGATGATCAGCGTGGGACGCGCCGCCTGAGAGGAGGAGGTGTTTTCAGCGCGCACTGTTGGTGCCCTGTGGCCACTCGGTGCCATGATGAGTAAGGAAGCCCAGGGGGATTTACGCGTCTACATGTGTGGATTTCTACTCTCCAAAATCACGCCACAAGCTGCTGGAAACAGTGATGGAGAAAGACTGTTGGCTGCTTTCCTGCGCGCGAAAAAGTAAGGTTTGGTTACCTTCCCTTGTCTGGAAAAGTCCTCTTAAATGTTATCGAGGAGTGTGATTTGGCGAGGAAATGTGGTGCCTGACTTCGAATCTGAAACAAGTGGGCTTATCTCAAAGCCATGAGTAAAGGAGGTATGGGTCGCAAAGATGTGCTACGCCAAACGCTCGTCCTGTCCCTTCTTTGCGCCCAGACACTGGGACAGGTGTTCAACCTGACGCTCTCCGTAAAGGAGGGCCTGCCCGCTCAAACTATTGTTGGGGATCTGGGAGCGGGGTTAAGCAGGCCAAGCACCGGATTCTTCATCTCAGAGAGCAGAGACTCTTACGTGTTCAGAGATTTGGAAATAGATGCAGACACAGGGATCATCTCTACAGCCGTGGTCCTGGACAGAGAGAGCAGAGATAGGTACGAGTTTGTGGCAGCCACTCTTACTGGAGAGATGATAAAAGTGAGAATCGAAGTGAAAGATGTGAATGACCACTCACCTGTATTTGCCTCAGAGGATGTTTACTTGGAAATATCAGAGCTGAGCCCTCTAGGGAGTCGATTTCAGCTGGATGGTGCCAAAGATGAGGACGAGGGGGAGCTTGGTACCCAGGGATACAGGATCGTGGAGAGCGAGATGGGGGAGTTGTTCCAATTGGAGTATCGCTATGGATCTGAAAGCCTGGATCTCATCCTCTCAAGGAAACTAGACAGAGAAACAAAAGACTCATACACACTCGTCCTTGAGGCTTTCGATGGGGGCATCCCAGCCAGGACGGGGGTTCTCCAGGTAAACATCAAAGTTCTGGATGAGAACGACAACCCTCCTGTGTTCAACCAGACTGAATATCATGCCTCTCTTCCTGAAAATGCTCCAGTGATGTCTGCAGTGTGTCAGGTTCAAGCCACCGACCTCGATCTGGGTGAGAACTCAAGGATAACTTATGAGATCAACAGGCGACAGAGTGACCCTAACGAGGTGTTCTCCATCAACGCAACCAGCGGGTTGGTGTATCTGAACAAGCCGCTCGATTACGAGACTCAGTCGTTCCATGAGTTGATCATCAGCGCGAAAGACAACGGGGCTCAGCCTGAGTACAGCAGCACTTTTGTGGGGGTGAAGGTGCTTAACATCAATGATAACAGCCCAATCATCAACGTTCTGTTTCTCAGTGAGACAGGGGAGTCTGTGGTGTCAGAGGCAGCAGCGATTGGGGACTATGTGGCTCGGATTTCTGTGTCAGACCCAGACTTTGAGGAGGAGAATGTCATTGTGACACTGGAGGGAGGTGATGGGAAGTTTACCTTGAAGCAGACAGATGATTTTCTCTACGCTTTGTGTGTCACCGCAGAGCTGGACAGGGAAGAGAAGGAACTGTATGAGCTCAAGGTGCAAGCATCAGATGTTGGGAGTCCATCTCTAAGCAGCGAGATGGTCTTTCTCCTAAAGGTGGCCGACGCCAACGACTGCCATCCAGATTTCGATAAGAATGTTTACACTGTCCGTATCCCAGAGGACGCTTCTCTGGGGAGCTCGATCATCCAGATGCAGGCCAGAGATGCAGATGAGGGCCTCAACTCAGAGGTCAGATACTCCATTCTCAAGTCCAGCCAGGACAGCATGATCAGCATCGACCCCGAGTCGGGCCTTGTTACGACAGCTGCGGCTCTAGACAGAGAGACACAGGCAGAGATATGGTTCCTAGTGGTGGCGGTTGATGGAGGGGAACCGGCGCTGTCTTCTACGACTACAGTCACAGTGCAGGTGGAGGATGTCAATGACAACGAGCCAGTGTTCCAGCAGCAGCTGTACAACGTTTCCATTCCAGAGCACAGCGACATTGGGAGCTGCTTTCTACAAGTATGTTTGAAAATATTCCCGCTTAAAGGGTTCATTAGCTCAAAGTACAAAAAAAAAACCTTTTAAGTTTTTTTGAGATGAGATGAGATTCAACTTTATTGTCATTACACATATACAAGTATAGAGTAACGAAATGAGGTAAAAAGTTACACTTAGGGGAGGCTTTCTATGCAAAAAAAATGTTAAAATGTACAACTTAGGAGAGACTTGTCCCACAAAGTTTTGCTGTAAACCAAAAACAGCCCTTGATATTCATATCATAGCTTACTTTCGGTGAACATCATGACATATTGTATGCACATTTAATTGGGACTTTTAAAAATACTTCCTATGAAAATGTTTCAGAATTGCAGGGAATTCTGTGTATAATTCAGAGGAACCACAACATTGTGCTTGCCAAAAATTATTACTATTGAGGGAAATGGGAGGGAACATTGGGCTTTTAGAAATTTCAATAGTGTAAAAACAAAATCGTACAAAATCCCTCATGATTATTTACCATATTTATAGGGACATTTATGAGTTGCTGTATATGACTAGAATCTTAAGAATGGCTCTCAGCAACACTGTCCAGCAAATAGTTACTTTAAGTATGAGAATTCATGGAGTTATAGACTAGATTTTTCTTCTAAAGTGGTCAGGAGATGTGTGTAGAGAAGTCTGCAGTCTGAATGTTCAGCATCATATGCTCTTTGTTTTGCAGTCTCTTTCTTACGTCTCTTAAGACAAACGTAGCCCTCAGTCTGTTGGCACAAAGAAATCAGTGTTCTTCCTAAACACACACAAGACAAATACTATTCCCAGCACTGTAGCTTCAGTGTGACAGATGTGATGCCTGGTACCAAACTGACACAAGCTGAAATGTCATTACAGAAGTCGCCTTATTTAGCATTAACCAACAGCAGCCAAATTTAAAAGATATTTAGAAAGAAATACAGTTTAGATAAGGCCTGAAATGATATAACCAAAGCATGTTTTCCACTGCTCTTACACGAAGACCTTGACTTGAAGTCATCTTTATACCAAACAAAATGCCTTTAGAGTATGACAAACTTAAACTTCACAACTATGCTAATATGAGAGAATTGATTTGGAGAAGGCGATGCTCTGAAAACACACGTTTCACTGGTTTTTGGTTTGGTTTCATATTTTAAGTGACAGTGTGTCTCTAAAACAAAAAGACTTGACAATTTACCAACAGTCAGGAATGCAAAAATGAACCATTACCAATAATATAAAACTGCACAAGAGAAGAATGTTTAGCATTTCAGCATAAAAAATTCTTAAAATGTTGAAAAATATGAGGATGTATTTTATTTGAAAAGGAAACTGATACGTATCTGACATAAGCACAACAAAGCTATAAAAAAGCACATAAACTGTATGAAAAGAAGTGCATCTTTGATGTAGAACTTGTGATGTTCATAAAATCTTTCCAGATTCACTGGTCCCAGCCCATCAGATGGTAAATAACTCCTTTATGCAATGCACATTTATTTCTATCGCCGAGTGTAACCAACAAAAATGATATCAAGAGATAGGGGCCGGTTTTATACAGCGTTCATTTTACTAAGGTTTGTTTAGTTGTTGTCATTATATAGAATGGTTGGATGAT